ATGTTCACACACAAGATCCCTCTCTCCCCCTCCCCCAGCACCAACACCCATGTTCACACACAAGATCCCTCTCTCCCCCCCAGTACCAACACCCATGTTCCCACACAAGATCCGTCTCTCCCCCAGGCATCTGTCAGCTGCTGACCCAGGGCACCGGTGACCTGGTGCTGGACTGTTGCACCGATGCGTGGACCGGCTCTGACCTACAGCTGCTTTCTGAGATGGACAGGTCAGCTTCACAACTATAATAATGATAATAACAAAAAACAACAATTACAGTAATAATTCTACAATTTATATAGTACATATCAATTCTTTATGCGCGTTAGAATTATTATTATGACAGCAGGCCCTAGAACGGTAAGCAACATCTCTGCTTCCCAGAAAGCATAAAGTGCAATGAGCCGATGAAGCACTCAAACACGTAACAAACTGACTTTTCTCCTCGACAATGGGTGGTCGGTAAATCTTCGACAGGTTTGGCTGTAGTTCCAAATTGCTGAAATATTTGTTTTCTTGCCAGAAAGGTTATCTGCAATGCTTGTGATTGCTAGTTGCCATCATGCACTTTGTCATACTCAGGCCAGTCCATGCCTTGAATATATTGGTCCACATTGTTCATTGTCCATTTCTCAACTCTTTTGCCCCACGTCTCGACTTCAAGTATTTCCTTCAGGAAGTTGTTACAGCAGTTATACATTATACACAATATCAGAGTATTGGCAAAAGCGTATGCGAAGCGTTCTGACAAAATGAGTTACTTCTCGATACATCGCACTTATAGGTGAAGTTCCTCTGGATCGCTAACAACAACAACAGGTGAAGTTCCTACGATTTATAAGTAAGAAGTAATAAAAGGCATGTTATACTTAAAAAATATGACATCAATAGAAAATCTACAAATTAGATCCTAGTATTGAATTTTGGCCTATATCTCCGTTTGTGGATTGTGAGAAGTTTCTCATTTTGTCAGCATGCCTCACATATACATTTCCAGATTAATGAAATATGCTCATGTTTGTCTGCTTTCAGAAAACGTGTGCTGGACTTCTACCATCGCAACTCCATGATCGCCTACTGCACGGCGTTTGCGTACAAGCCGCTGCCGAAAAGTATCGACGACTGGTCAAGTGAAGTGTACACGGAGCTCGTGGAGAGCCCCAGCGCGACCAAAGTGGCGCATGGGGAGGATGTCGGGTGAGGTTTATGGTTTAGGTTTTTGTTTCATTTTGTGGGGATAATATGAGTTTGATGGTTGGTGTGTGGATGTGTGTGTGTGTGTGGTTTGTGCGTGTGGCTGTGTTTATGTATAAGGGGGGAGAGAGAGAGAGAAAGGTACTTTTAAAATTTAGTACATCTAGGATGTTTTAATTTCTCTTTTGTT